TAAATTTGCCGCCATTTCCGTTTTTTGTACTAGAAGGGTTTTGAATTTTAGACAGATGTTAAGTAGAAACATGGCGATTAATAAATATGAAGAAGAATATTATTGAACAACGCGTCTTTATTGTTAAAAATTATTTTAAATTTGGTGAGAGTTATGCAGAAGTTGGAAGAAAATGTCATACAAAATATGAAAAAACAAATTGTCCAACAAACAGGAACATTTGAAATATTGTGAATAAATTTGAAGAAACTGGTACAATTTAAGATCAAAGAAGTAAATTTTACAATCGTAGTGGTCTTTTACAAGAAAATATTGCAGCTATCAANCCATAATTTGAATTTTCAAAATACATATATTTTTGTGTGGAATAAAAGTCTATTCATTAACTTTAAATAAATATTTTGATATTAATATTGAATAATTTTATTTGAATTACTAAAAACCTTCTTAACCCGTTATGATGCTTAAAGTAGCCTCATGTTTTGAAATGCTGTTTTTATATTGTTTACACATAATATAAAAATATTTAACATAAGCACCAGTACTACATTTATTTACGATTTGCATACATAATCAGCTTTTATTACTCTCTTTCATTTCTAAACAGTCTATAGAACATGTTTTGTTTTCTGATGAGTGCACCTTTATACTTCATGCTAATCGTCAAAATTGCCGCTATTGGTCTAATGAAAATCCTCACTGGATTATAGAAGAGCATTCACAATGCCCTGGAAAAGTTAATGTTTGGGCAGGAGTTGTTGGAGATCATATCATAGGTCCCTTTTTCATTGATGACAATTTGAACGGCGATAATTGTTTAACACTAACAATAATGTCGTGGCAACTTTGACAAATTTATATCCTGATCCAGCAAGCCCACAATTTCTAGCCAATATGAATATGGTTTCAGCAAGATGGAGCACCACCCCATTATCAAATCAATGTCCGGTAGTACTTCAACCGAATATTTCCAAATCGGTGGATAGGGAGGCGAGGATCGATGGAATGGCCAGCACGATTCCCTGATCTGACACCATTACACTTCTTATGGGGATATGTCAAAAGTATTATATACAAAAGTAAACCCCCTCGACTTCGCTGACTTAAGAGGACGAATAACGCTTGCGATTAGATCGGTCACGTGAGTAACGTCAGAAGAAATTTCTATTTAAGATTAAGATGTTGCCAGGACGTTAGCGGCGAGCATTTTGAACATCTCCTACATTGACATTAATGTTTTTTTTTGCTTTTTATCAATAAATAAACAGTGTTACTTATTAGTTTTTAAGTGTGTTGTAAGGAATTTCTATAATCAAAAAATTTTTTTTAATGTTAATTCTTGCAATAAATCTGAAAACACTTAATATTTCTGAAACAGTTGAACATAGCTATAGGACATTGTACATGAAATATGTCTAGAATTTTCTGAAGAAACCAAAATTGAGTAATATATAGGGTGTTGATTCCATTTGGCTGATACACACTGTATAAATTGACGACGAAAATTATTATCAAATTCTGAATGGAATGGACTATGGAAATGTTATCCACAAAAAACTTTATATTTAACTCCTCATTGTCTCTAAAGGAGAAGTACATGGTGTGAGATTTTAGTTGTACCACCAACAAAGTAGAGTACCTTTATGAAAGTGTAACTAATTTGACAATCATCTAAAAATTAAATAAATTATAATCATAGCTTGTATAGATTTGAGTTAACTTTTTAAATTTGCCGCCATTTCCGTTTTTTGTACTAGAAGGGTTTTGAATTTTAGACAGATGTTAAGTAGAAACATGGCGATTAATAAATATGAAGAAGAATATTATTGAACAACGCGTCTTTATTGTTAAAAATTATTTTAAATTTGGTGAGAGTTATGCAGAAGTTGGAAGAAAATGTCATACAAAATATGAAAAAACAAATTGTCCAACAAACAGGAACATTTGAAATATTGTGAATAAATTTGAAGAAACTGGTACAATTTAAGATCAAAGAAGTAAATTTTACAATCGTAGTGGTCTTTTACAAGAAAATATTGCAGCTATCAATGATAGTGTCATAGCAGAACCAAGCACATCAATTCGTCATCGTTCACAGCAATTAATGATTAAACAAACAATATTTTCTGTAAACATCTTCACTTAAAGGCTTACAAAATACAGTTAACAGAAGAATTATTGCAACTGATTACGGATTACGTCGTACATTTGTTAACTGGGCTCTTGCAAAAATGCAAAAACGATGATTTTTTTAATAAAATCGTCTTTAGTGATGAAACTCATTTTAAAATTTGTGGATCTGTAAACAAACAAAATTATCGCATTTGGGGCGAAGAAAACCCACGAATAATATTAGAACAACCAATCCAACCACAAAAGTAACTGTTTGATGTTGTTTCTGAAGCTGCAAACGTTGTTACTAATAACTTTTTAAGGGATGAATTGGAGCGTATTAATGTGCAGGATATCTACATATGTGATTTCAACAGGACAGTGCAACATATCATACACAATCGGTTTTTTGAAACAGAAATTTGGTAATCGAATAATTTCTCGAAGAGACGATTAGACTTCTTTCTATGTTTTTTTTTTTTTGAAGAGCAAAGTTTATGTTGACAATCCTTAAACCATTCATCTTAAAGAAAACATAACTGAGTAAATCACTTACATTGAACCACTATTAGGTCAACACGTAATGGGAAATTTTGCTAAAATGTTGAAGGCTTGTAGACATGCCAGAGGTGACATTTTTTCCATTACTAACAGCAACACGTCTGCTTTAGTATTCAATAAAAATAGCTAGTTATTTCTAATGAATTATGTGTTTTATTAAAAAATTAAAAAGCTTACTCAAATTTAAAAATCAAAACGCTCAAAAAAATGTGCAGTATATCCTGAATTTTAATAGTCGCCCTTAAATAGCAGCGTCAATCACAGACAAAGCTGTGACATCATTTTTACTTTATAAATGCACTGTAAGCACGTCACAACTATAGTGGCTATAGTGTCCATCAAACTGAACTCACTTCTACATTTTTGAATTGGCACACAGTTTTATACAAATATAAAAAAATATTATTCAAATAAAAAATACATATGTTTTTTCAACAATATTTCATTTTACCGCATTTGAATAGGTGACAAACATCATTGTCCTAAAAATCTATACGTCACGTTAAATTTGTTTTGTTAAAATATTCACAAAACGTAATGTTATTTTTTTTACAAAGGGATTGAACGAGACATAAATTTTTAACCAGTTTTGAATATTGATTTATAATTATTTATGCTGGAAGCGCCAGTGATTGAAGATAAAAATTAAATAAAAAATGGAGGAATTTTCAGTAAATATCTTGTGGATAATTTCTTTACTTTGGTGTTTGATAGATTTAAATTTTTTTATTGTTGCTTCAAAACCAGATTTTCATACATCTGGCGCATACAACACCCTAAAGCAATTATCAATACTGAAAGCAGAATAAATATGTTGTATAAATGCTGGAATAAAATTTGGAATAATTGGTTGAAAATCTGTTGATTGATATTTTTAGAATCCTTTATTTTTCCAGTACATGACTTTAAATAAAAGGATAATGTGAAATAGAAACAGCATATTTGTTTAATTTTACTTAAAATTGAAAATAAACATTGCCACAATTAAAAAAGAATAAATATTTGTGGTTAATGTAGACATAATTGTGTGTACTTCTTCTAAAAGTAGCGTACCTTTACCGGCCAGTTTCACAATCGTTGGTTATCTTTTTGGTAAGGCATCCTTGACCCAAAAGTTAATTTGTGGTTAAACAATTCAACTGTTTCACAACAGCTATTACGTCTTCAAGTAAGCCAATCTGGGGTTAAGCTGATTTTAGAATGTTGTTATGAATTTATTGCAATAGACAAGTGACAAATATTAGAAGAATAGAAAGAAATAACCTGTAGTGACATATTTGTGACAGTTTTCAGTGCCTGTCTACTTAGTTAACGTATTATTTAGGATAATATTCTGTACTTTTAAACTATTTTATTTGGAAGATAAGTGCAATAGGAAGTGCAATAATAAGAATAATAATAGTTCTTACCACTCTACTTGCTGTGGCTTGCTGGACATACCGTGTCTTCACTGTAACTGCCCGAGTAGTGGTGTTTCTACACTGTAAACAGAAACTGGCGCCCGAGGTAACCGCCGTCACTCACGCGTCATAGTAACCGACGATTTCACCGCCGCCGAACAAATGTCACAACGCAGCACACATTCTACGGACTGCTAAACCTCCCAAACACAAGCTGAACCGGGGACAGATTCAAGCCCTTAAAGAGATCCAGAAGAATGAATTAATAACAATAGTGCCTGCTGGCAAGGGGAACGCAACAGTTGTACATCACCAAGAACATCCGAAACAACCCAGTCAAGAAACAAGAGAAAAATGTAGCCGCTGCAGTCCGATCCTCAAACATACCCAAAGAACACAGGAGTTTGATTCAAAACGATTCAAGGACATCTCAGCTGTACTGCCTGCCAAGAATTCACAAACCGAATTTCCCTCTTCGACCGATAGTGAGTGCAGTTGGATCAGCAACACACCGAATAAGAGACTTAGTAGGGAGGACAGAGCATCACGTCAAAAACGCCTGAGACTTTATCGACAAGATTCGAGGAATTGAACTCCAACCTGATGAGCTACGATGTTACATCCCTATTTACGAAAGTACCCGTCGACGAAGCCCTGGAAGAACTGCATCGAAGACTAATCGCAGAGGACAGGGATGAGAGTCTAATGGATTTGGAAAAAGTGTGCATAAAATCGACCTTCTCGTTAGTCCTGGCCAATATATACATAGTAGCCTTTGAGAAGAAAGCCCTGGAATCCACAACGTTGAAGCCTATGTGCTGATACCGATATGTTGACGACACCTTCATCATCTGGCCCCACGGAAGCAACACCGTAGCGGATTTCCTGGATCACATCAATGGGATACATCCAGATATCCGGTTTACCATGGAAGTAGAGAACAATACCGCCCTTCCCTTTTTGGATTTTTTGGTTGAGAGGAAACCAGATGGCATTTTAAGACATCAAGTACATAGGAAGCGAGCTCACACAGATATCTGAATGTGGAGTTCCACCACCACCCGGACCAGAAACAGGGGATCATAAATATTTTGATTCATCGAGTGCGGATCATCAGCGAGCGAAGACACTTAGCCGAGGAACTAGAACACCTACGCACGGCCCTGAGAGGGAATGGCTACACAGCGACAAATATCGAACGAGCTATCAAGAAGAGACATACGCCCATGGAGAAACGGGAGTACTTAGCGACGACGTATCTACCTTACGTGAAAGGTTGTACAGATAAAATCGGACGTCTTTTGAAGAAGAATAATATCAACACAGTAGTCAGTACTGTAAAGAAGGTGGCGGCAGCATTTCCAAAGACCTGCAACAACGACCTGCTTCAGGGCCCCGGTGTGTACAGTATTCCTTGCTCTTGCGGAAAGGTCTACACAGAACAAACAGGAAGGCACATCAACACGAGGTTAAAAGGAGCACAGAAGTCAACTCACTGGAACGTCAACAACGCGTACAAGATCACCCACCGGAACGTCATGGATCGTGACCATATCAAATATGACAAGACAAGTAGATCTCCAGTTTCAGAGTAACTTCTGAAGAAGAGAGCGATATGCCTCTCGAAACCTCAAGAGTTAATCGACGACCTGGCAACCAGCCCGGAAGTCATTCAACCATGTATTCAGGAACATCCTGTACACTAGAAGTTAAGAAAATAAAGAATTTAGTACATATTATTTATTAAATAAAATCTGATCAATAAACAATTGTTAATTTACCTTTATTTGACAGTATTATCAAAACGAATTTTGATTTTAATTAAAAAGCGAGAATGTTATAAGTTTAACTGGATTTGAGACAAAAAAATCCTTTATTTCCTTAGAGCATGTACAATGTTCTCCTTTTCTGATATTTGATTATAACCTATTAAATTACACAAACATTTCTAGAAATTTCGTTGTTATAAATAACTACCACTATGCTATTACTCATTCAGTTTATTGACTTTACAATGAATTACTTCGTAGTTCAATATAATGACTTTTATCGCGGAAGTATTTTATTGCGACAGATTGAAGGCACTTTCCTCATTTTGTCCACTTCTAAGTAATTTAATTATATTTTATTACACAATACGTCGTCCCGATCTTCCAAAACAAAATTTATTACAGAGGCGTAAGCAGAAATCAATAATACTTTAACAAATCAGTCTTATAACAACATCCATTGTAATATAATTCAAAGTATTCAGCCTTGTTTCCTGGCAGACCCATTAAGTATAAAAAAAAAGAAGTAAATTTTTATAAACTCCGCTCCGAGAAACATCTTAAGCCTGAAGTTTATTGTAATGTAATATTAATCATGGGACATTCCGCAACCACTTTTTGAGCCATTAAGTTTTGACACTTCATTAATACCGAAATATCCTCATCTCCTTATCGTTTCCTATTTAGTAATTTTACCATTACAGCTTAAATTCATTCCAGCCAGTTCTGCCGTTTGATTTGACGTGCTAATGCCATATCGGTTGAAAAACTGCTTAGATACAACGTTATGGCTTTAACGATAGTGTTCGGCTTAATGGTGTGAAGAGTGTTATCACCCCCGAAACTTTGCGATCCGCCGAACCGTATTTGATTTAAAGCCAGACCCGCAGACTTGGCCTATTTCCAATTACTTCCCCAGTTAATGTTTGTACCAATTATAATTAATGAGTATTTGTGCAGTATAAACAAACACGCCACGCCGTATCGTTGCCTCCGTTCTTAGCCTGGAGATGTATGTCTTTTTTCACTCCACGGTGAAGTGTTCGCTCGCATAACATCGTTGATATTAATGACTACAGCGACGAGGAATAATCTTACGCTATACATAAATACATTCAGAATATACTCAATGTCAGAGAGTGTCTTAAAAAAAAGAAGCTTTAAAACTGTTCAAAATGTTCTTAATACTGCAAGTCAAATATTTTTGACAAAAGTTATTTTGAGCTTTGTAATCCGTTGTACTTATTTTGGTAAATAATTTGACTAACACGAATTGACGTTATTTTTTAGAACTGTGTGAAGTGTTTGAACTTCTTAAAAAGTTATTTTTATTTTATATTTATCTTTAGCAATAGTTAGGATCTGGTCCAAATTATAGTTCTTACTGCACTACAATAAACCTGCTGCTATACTTTTTGCGATTCTGCATTATACTGGTTCAAAGTAATTAGTCGATTTCTCTAATTGAAAATTATCGATTGGCAGGAAATAATATTTGACTTGTCAGTGCTGCGAGAAACAACTACTCCGAGAACTATTTGCCCCTACCGGCATTGAATTATACTCTCAACACCTAGTGCAACAGCTAGGATCGTTTGTCATCAGTTTACCCACCAAGCACAGACCGGTTTCGGACTTATTAGTCCTCATCAGTGTGTCATAACTGCGACAACCCATAAACTACCCAGCTGTTCTTCGTCGTATCATCACGAAGAGGAAATACATTTTACGCGGGAGCCAATGGCTCCATCTGTCGTGCGGATTCCCAACTGTGCCATTCAAATGGCTACAGTAGGAAGCGACCTGCTAACTGCAGGTACTTTGTTGCACGACTGCCACCCACAGAGGGCGTAACACAATGTTTGACTTGTCAGTGCTGCGAGAAACAACTACCCCGAGAGCTATTTGCCCATACTGGCATTGAATTATACTCGCAACAAATAGTGCAACAGCTAGGATCGTTTGTCATTTTACCCCCCAGCCACAGACCGGTTTCGGACTTATTAGTCCTCATCAGTGTGTCATAGTTGCGACAACCGACAAACGACCCAGCTGTTCTTCGTCGTATCATCACGAAGAGGAAAGATGGAGCCATTGGCTTCCGCGTACAATGTATTTCCTCATACATACATTGTACGCGGAAGCCAATGGCTCCATCTTTTTAACTATTTTATTTTATAATAATTACCTATATCAATAATTTAATAAATATTAACATTTTTTCAGTCATTTTTAAACAAATTAAATTTGAAAAACTAAATTCTCAGTAAATGCATATGTCAATACAACTATTTAGGTACAAAAACAACTAATGATCGAAACCCTACAACGCCTGTGAGCTTGGGAAAAATGAATTGAAAATAGCATCTTCTTAGATAACAAATTCCGCCAACGCCAAACCAATGAAGCTTTCGGGCTGAAATTTTTACCACTTATTAAGGGTGTAAAAAGCCTCAAAAATCCTGAATTACAAGTGTCTGCGATGAAAATTGCATTAATTATTAGCAATTGAAAAAAACGGCAATTTTCGACCATTTTTGAGCTCTTGTGCATAAACAAACTATCGGAATTTAATCGGACTTTTCTCATTTTATAGGCTTATTTAATACCTACCTTTTTTGTATAAACATTTTTTCGCTATGAATAATAGTTTTTTTACGCGAGTCACAAAACCACTTTTCCATATCTTTGACCACTGTTAAAACAAAGTTTCCCAACTAGCCTCGAGTTGATTTTTTGATATTTTATTTATAACAGGTTTCCGAACAATATTCCGCAGAGAAACTTCTAATATTATTTTTTTCCCGAAACAGGCTCTTTCATGTCTATAATGACTGGGCTAGAAACCTCGACATCGGGAGAGTAAGGTGGGTCGAACAGAATTCCCATTTTAACTTCCGAACAGCCGTTTTGGTCGTATTGGTGATATGTGGTCGCGCGTTGTCATATTGCAAAAGAGCGTCGTATCGCCGATCAGGTCTCTCAGCTTCTACTCGTGAAGTCGCCGTAATTGTTGGACATAGAGTTCTGCATTGACAGTTTGATTGTTTGGTAATAGTTCACAGTAAAGAATCCCTTTCCAATTCCACAGCCGCATAAGATCGATGATGAAATTCTGGTCTTGTTTTTTGGAGTTTAACCATTCTTTCCATTTCAAGTTCACGTACAGACACCATTTTTCATCACTAGTGATAATACGATGAAAAACACGTCCCTTATAACCACGTGTTGATCGATGACAAAATCAACAATACTTTACAGAGAAAACCAACGGCAAAAATATCATTAAATGTCAGATAATGTTCTTCGATACTAGTTTAGGTATGCAAAGCTATCCAACCTACAGATAAGTATCCTAAGTTCTAATATAACTTCAAACATGCATTAAATTCTAGCAAGGCTTCGAGCACAAAAAGAGCTTTGTAATTATTATGCAATTTTATTAGTTACTTTTATGGTGCTAGATAATTTAAAGCCCTTGTTAAATTAAAGTATTTGCATTTAGGCACTTCAGTAAGTGCTTTAGTATTTTTTTATTCACGCACATAAAGCAAATATTATGTTTAAAAAAAGTACAATGTTGTTCAAGTTTGGCTCAAGGGTTTATTGTTTGATTTTCAACAAACTTACGTCAAACAATTTTTACATACAGTAGCCGTAGTGTGGGGTAAATTTAATAATGTTCGTTACAATTTTGAAATATTTGAAATTTACCTCACGATTATGATAGGGTACTAAAGCGTTTACAAAAATGCTGTAACAATAAACGATAAACAACACTATATATCACTAAAAATTCTATAAAATCAAGTTTATGAACTACTAATAATAATTAAATTATCAGTAAATGAATTAAAATATTTAGTTACCAATTTCTTTTTTTCCCCATCAGATATATGTATGTTTTGTTTATGACGCAGAATTCACCTTATATTTATATTCGAAAGCTAGTTTATTATTTACGTCTATAATTGTAGTTTTTGTTTGAGATCAATCAGTGTCCCCGCTTTTCACTATAAATTGTGTAGGTATTAAACCGTTTTCCAAGTATATATTTCGTTTGATGTGCTTAAATTGACAGCCTTTACGAAGACGAAGCCAATATATAACAAAAAATGTTCGCTAGTGGTGGAAAATTGCTTTTTTGGACGTAATAGAGGATCTATTAATACCGTAAAATTAGATGCTCATATATTTTAGATATGATTGACGTATTACTACTTTGTATAAAATGTAGGTATGTTTTTTCCGAGGGCAATTTTCGTCAGTGTCAGATTAGCTGGGAATGTGCTAGGTACAGAACGTCGCTAAAAGGGCATCGAAAAAGCAACCACAAAAAAGTTATTGTATAGGTATTTTCTTTTAAAATAATAATACTCCTGTCTGGTTACGTATCCCGTTGGGTATGACAAAGGAATAAAAAACTGAATGCATACTAATGTTATACCTTATAATTTTACCATGATACCGGGTTCTCCAGTAAACGCTTTTATTCTGTATTAAGCCTAAATATTTGAGCCACTAATTTATTTCAATCTAGTCATCTAAATTATTTTATAATAATTAATATGGGACGATACGCTGGACATTACAAAATGTGTATGGCTAATGTGTTTTTTCACAAAATATATTGTGCAAATTATTATAAGGTATTTACATAAATCACATATACAAGGTGCGACGTGTATAATCTATAAAAATTAAACTACAGCTTCCTGATGATATTTGTAATAGAAAAGTCTTATACGAAAAGGTTCTCTTTGCGTTTTTTTTTGTAAATTAAAGTTCATTTATTTAAAGAAA